GTAATTTTTGTTTTTAATCCTAGAATAAGTACAATGTAGGCGACTTTTCCCTACAGCCTTAAATCATGCGTCGTTTAATCGTGCAGATTAATATTAAAAAGTTGTGTCAAATATGATTATAAAAATAATTTTTCTCTGAAGAGACTGTGTAGGGAACCTTGCAAGCAAAGTTCCGACATGCCCCACTGAGTATGAAGTATGGATTTATTCTATTGGATATTCATGGAAAAAGAAGCCTCGCAATTCCTAGTGTCTTTTCACCGTTTTTATTTGCTTCAACAATTTATGTTTATCCTCATTGTCGTAATTCCATCTATCGTCGTAGATGTAAACGGCTGCTGGGTGAATGATTCAACGCTTTGATTAGCTTATTGATGATCTTTCGAAGAGCCACTTATAAATTCTAACATTGCTTTTCACATTCACGAATCTATCATCCAATCCACTCTTTTCAATTGTCAATTGACAAATAAATACTAATTACAGAAAAGGGCACGAAATATGGGATAAGAAAGCAACAGCTGTCGATCTTATTTTGTCAATTAAATTTTGTCGCATCGTAAATTTCGCAAGACGTTCTGTGAAAAAATATTGAGTCTGATATTCGATAACTTTCTCATTTGGGAACTCCGTAAAAATACGGTTTAAATATAATCGGCAACTAAGCGGTCGGTAGATCAGTGGAATCAATGTAACGACGTTGACAGCTACAGGGCGCGACGTGGGCTCGTCGGTTGATCGGCGAATCGAACGACCGCCAAAGTGGGCACTATTACGTGTTTTGATATTTCATACTAATGAATGCGATTAATAAGTGGACGAGTGGACATACTGCACCACAGAACAGGTTTTTGCCGAGAACAGGTTGTTAGTCAGGCGATAGTAAAGGTGTGTCAATAATTGCGCGTGCGATTGGCCGGAAGCCTGGAACGATAAACATTGTGATAATGACGCAGAATTCTAATTAATTTCGTGGTTACGTACACGGCTATGTGTTCTCCAAAACTTACCTTTCCCCACTAGTCATACGGCCGCGTTTGCGACGTAACGTCAACTTTGATCGTACGAAGCGAAATTATGCAAAGTATGTGAATAAGGAAGCATTGAGCACTAAGGCAGTGTGATAACGGAAGCCAATTTTGCTTTTTGCAGTGAATTAGTCAATTAAAAAAGTAAGTAAAATTTAAATCGAACAGAAATAAAATAGATACCGTAAATAGTAATAATAATATTGTTTTGTCTAGCTGTGTTCTGTCTTCTTATAATATAATTGTAATTTTTTGTGAGAATGACGTGAGACAGGAAAAGGTCCTCTCTAGGATTTTTAAATCGTAAACAAGCACAAATTATGCTCATTTACGTAAACGTTCTTTTGTCTTGTATGTCCGAGTAAGTGCCGTAAATATTATACAAATTTCGCTTGTGTAATGTTTTTAAGAATGAAATTGGAAAATTTAATTCCTTTAAATAGGCTTTGTAGCTTCATACAATATAAACGAGTTTTACCATTTCATGGTAAAACAATTTTTTCTACGAGACTTAATATATGGTAGAGTCTGATAGAATGCAAATTTGTAGCTGCACCACAAATGAGGTGTAAATGAGTTGGCTTATTACTCCTGTTGACTTTTTGGTTTATTTTGATGAGTATTATATATTTCTAAAGTTTAGTACTATCTTTTTTTAAAAAGACGCACCCTAAATAGAAATTATATCCTATTAAGAGGGCAGAGTAGGACTTTTCCGCCTTTAAAAAGTATGTTCTTTTTTCTGGAAAAGATCTATAAGTTATAAGGATTGAATTTTTAATAAATAAAAGTACATATTTTTTGTACTCTTAATCACAATTTTTTATTTTATATTTTATTGAAAAATACCTCTTCTTCCTAGACCTCGGACCATGCAACATTTCGCGATATCAGAAATATTTCGACCTTTTATTAAAAATAAAAAATTCAACAAAGACCTTACAGTATATTAGAAATTATAATCCCTACTTCGGATATGATTTTTTATTTTTAATAAAATGGCGGATTTTCAAACTTAAGGAATCGATTTCTACAAAAATTTCAATTTTCTTTCTGAAAAAAATAAAGAAATAAAAAAGCATCCGATAGGGACTACAACTTTTAATATATTTTAAAACCCTTTTTGAATTTTTTATTTCACATAAACCAGGTTAGAGATATTTCTAGTACCATGGTGAAACGCTATATGCCGTACAAAGTCTAGGAGAGGAAAGAGCATTTTTCAGTAAAACACATAAAATAAAAAGTTGCGATTAATCGGATTAATCTTCATGTATACAAAATTCAATCTTTGTATTTTATATATCTTTTTGAAAAATCATGAAAAAGGCATACTTTTTAAAGCCGAAAAAGTTTTATGCCTTCTTAAAGGAATCCAAATATTATCTGTTACATTTAACGTGACCGGATATTTTTTAATCTGAAGCGGAAAACTTTATTAAGCCAAGAGGAGAATGTATAGATGTAAAGATAAATACAATGATAGCAATTTATTTAAAAAAATAATGCAATTATTTACCGTTCGAATATGTCAACTTTAATAAGAAAGGTGAATCTTTAAGAAATATATAAAATTCTTCGTAATTGAAATTAAAATTAGTTTTTGTTATTTTATATATATTTATAATATTGTTTCCAAAATAAATAATTTCCAAAACAAAGTTGATTTTTTCCGCTGTCCACACTTTGCTCATTGTACGCGCAGAGAACTTTTTCAACTGCCGTATTACTTCCTGGAAGTGATATATATTCTATACTTTTGCAATTTGGCCAAATTTATAAAATATTTTTCGGCGGATCTTTTTGTTATTATATTGCTAAAATCTAAACATTTAACACGTTTGACGGGATAGAAGAACAAACACCTTAAAAGCGAGACCGTCGAAAATGGAACATCTGGTTACATTAGTTATATTAAGAAACATAACGGTTAATATTATTACACACAATTTTCAATAACTCTCCTGAGTTCTCGTCGGTATTCTCGACTCCTTTTTGAGGAGTCATGCCAGTAAATTACATACTTTACACGAGATGCACATTCAATGATTATTTAATTTTAATCACGCAAAAAAATATTCAGCTAGAATTATAGCTGTTTTTTTGTATCTGATAGAAAATTATATATCATACGCATGGAATTTATAGCACAAATCTAAATTCTATCTCTATCATTTATATGATTAGATGCAATACATATTCAATATCATAATACTTGTTAGAAATTTATTCATTTCAGCTATTTTTCGTACTTAGATAATTTCCACTATAATTGCAAGATTTTTTGAGTGATAAAGATCTATTATTTATAGAACTGATAAGGATGGCAAGATTCAGTGAATTTTTTTTCACGGGACAAACTTGTCTGCTGCATGCTGTATGCTGAGAATCGGTAAAAATCGAAATAAAAGCAACCTTTCGCCCACACGGAATCCTCGCTTATATCCTCACGCACAACGAGATCCTTCTCTATCCTATAGATAAATCGACACAGTTCATTACGAAAGATCCCGCTTTGCGCAATTGTCAGATGCATTATTCAGGACGAGAAATCCTTCGGGAGTAGTCTTCGGCAATGAAACACAGAATCGCGATTTATACACGCATATCGATCCTGTTACTTAGAACTGATGAGGAAAAATGAAAAATGTGACGATGGATTCTTCGCGCTATATTTCTCGTTTTGCAAGATAACGTTGCAAATTACGTTATCTTTATTCTGGAAAATGCAAATCATCTCACAAAATAAGATATCATCGGTCTTTAAATAGCTTGTAATATCTCGTGAATAAGATGTAAAATAAAGAGTGCTCATTATTCTTTCCTCTTTTGATAGAAAAGAAATATATCTTTAGGAAATAAAGAATACTATAAAATACGCATGAAGAAGGAATGATTCTTCAGTTTACGTGATTCTTGCGTGATGAGGTACAATTTTCGACTTATTCTAGCAGTGGATATAATCAAGATAGAAGGGTTGTCAATTTGTTACGAGATAAGATTACAATACATTGCACATATATGTAAACAAATTGCAGCACTCTTATCTGCACGATCTTTCTAAGGAATTGTCTAATGAAAAGTCAAGAGGATACACCACTTGGCTGGATCTTTGTTGAATGTCGAGTACAACAGTGTAAAACGAGAATAACAACATTAATTATCATAAACTTTACAAAACTTTGAACAATTTTCTTTATTATTCTAAGGTAAAAAAAAAGCAAGATTCAAATGCATAAAATGTATTCATGCGTATACAAAGGCATGCTTTATCGCAACGGCTTTTGAAATATGTAAAAGAATATTTTCATGTACATCAGTTTGTTAATATTTCCACAAAAATATATCTTTGTCTTAGCGATACAACTGATCTAATTGTAAGCTGCGTTGTGACATCGAAAAGTATTCGCACTGTATATTTCCGTCGTTTAAAGTAATTTCAAGATATCGTGATATCATGACAAGTTTGCTCTCTCTCATAAATTCATCAATTCAATAAAAACATCTACTCCACATATAAAGTACTTTAATTTATAAATAAAAGCAAACATCAACAAAATAATGATTCTACAATCAATAAATACTCATGATTTTCCTTGGCGTAAATGATAAATGTATCCATTATTATTTCAAAGAGAGTGTAAATCAGATGTTATATGAAAGTTAAAGTTGCGATTTTTACATTAAGTTCTGTTAATCCTAATATCCGATATAATTAATAAATAAACATTCACTAAGACTAATATGTAAAACTTTCTTATAATGGCGATATATAGTAAACATTTATAATAAGTTTTTTTACTACCATGTACATTTTATCATAATGATACTTGTATAAGGCGATAGCGCCGGTTCTATTTCACTCGAGACAATATCATAAATATAAAATAATAGAAAATGTCAAATAGATTTAAGAAAAATATTCGACGAATGAAAAAATGCGTACAAAGTATAGTTCCTTGTACATTTCAGAAAGAATGTCGAAATCAGGGAGCATTAAAGATGGCGAGAAGGGGCCCTATGATCCGGTCCCTACCGCCGAAAAGGGCAACGATGAGATTAAGCTGGAAGCGAAAATGTCGCTTCTCAATGGTGTCACCGTCATCGTCGGCTCCATCATCGGTTCCGGCATTTTCGTCAGTCCAACGGGAGTCCTTAAATATACCGGAAGCGTGAATGCGAGTCTTCTCGTTTGGACGGCGTCCGGAATTTATTCTATGGTAAGCATAATCTATCCCTTTCTTTTTTCCTCGGAAACCTATTTCTCGATGACTTTTGTTCTGTCGATTTTTATTCAATCGATTTCTTTATTATATCTAATGCCAATGTATTAATTAAAGTAATTGCTTCTTGGTAGATTTACAAATAAAAAGAAGAATGATTCATTAATAACGGTAATGTCTGTATGAGAATAAAATTCTTTCGCATTAATAGAAATTCAAATTGATACAATTGCAAATCAATTCTGATAAATACATTTCGATGTAACACGTATATATATAATAAATTAAATAGCACATGTGTTAATTAAATTCTTGTGTTTTTTTTTTTTTCATATCTTTCGACAGATAGGGGCTTACTGCTACGCCGAGCTCGGTTGCATGATTAAGAAATCGGGGGCGGATTATGCATACATTATGGAGACTTTTGGACCCTTTCTGGCATTTATCAGACTATGGGTTGAGTGCATGATAGTGCGTCCTTGCAGTCAAGCTATCGTGGCCTTAACTTTCAGCGTCTACGTCCTCAAGCCGATTTTTCCGGACTGCACGCCACCCGATGAGTCCGTAAGAATGCTCGCTGTCTGCTGCATATGTAAGTGGATAACAAAAAAATCGTGGGCGACACATCTCCGCGACACAAGAACAAAATCCAGAGCCTCTCTGTCAGTCGTGATATATCCGCGAAATAAAACGAAGCGAAAAAAAAGTTGTTTCTTTTTAGGCTTACGGGAAATCTATTTAAACATTTCGCACCCACGTGCACTAAATATTTGTTATAGTGAAAATAATTATGCGTGTGCTAAATATAGAATTGATGCGTTCAGTTTTTCTGGTTTTCTGCAGAAGTTCTGACGAAAGTGAAAGGATTTCGCAATATTGCCTAACGTGTAGATCGAATTCTGCATTCGTAAAATTTTCAACTCCGTTATATTAATTTATTCAATGTATTGCTTTGCAATTAACATTACGCAACCAAACGCGGATACTGAGATCTGCATACGGAGAAGAACACAATGAGGTGATTAAGTTTATCGACAGAGTGGATATTTATTGCACGAAATTGCAATCAAAGTATGGGAGTGACGCCGTTTCTGTGACGGTGAATAATCGCGGCACAATACCGTATGGCTGATGATTAAATTTAACTGACTCGCGCGTCCATCAGTAGTAACGGTTTCAAACGGACCGACACAATGTGACCCACAAAAAATTCGTCTTTCCCACAGCAATCGTGCCCCTGACTGCGTCAAGAATGTCATCCCGGGTGATTTTGATTTCCGTCTATAATCCTCCGCTCTTTCTCTCTCGACCTCTTCCACCCGCCGTTTATCTTTCAACTTGTTCTCAGAGCTTCTCTTTAAATCGCCCGAAGAAACAATCGTCCATCAAGATACTGTAATTTATCATGCATCTAATATAACACCCGATTAAATTAATTTATTTCTAATTCATCTTTCTGATTTGTTATTTTATTTATTTATTTTCTTTTGCGTCCGTAGATCTTTTCTTCTTTTATGTAGTTTGCCTTTCCTTTCTGCTGATTCCAACTGTCGTGTTGGCTTGATTGCAAAATTTGATCGCTTACAGCAGATCTTCAGCAGATCTTATTCGAACAAAAAATTTTTATTCCATCTTTTTATCGTTTTTTTTTTGTGAGCCGCTTGATTCGCTGATTACAAATTGTGAGCGTAAAGTAAGTTAGTCTCGCAATCTTTTTTCGGTCCAATATCTTTTTTTATTTATACAAGTTATAAAAAAGTTTTAAAATATCTTTTCTTATCAACAAAATAAGAAAAAATGTTTTGAGCATTTGTTTGCTTTTTTAAATATTATTTACGAGATATAATTTTTAATATTTTACAATTATATATTTTTGTCATCAAAACATATATAAAACAGAACCTAATATATAACCTAATATATATATA